CCATGAGAGTGAGAACACTCTACCCACCATGAGAGTGAGAACATTCTACCCACCATGAGAGTGAGAACACTCTACCCACCATGAGAGTGAGAACACTCTACCCACCATGAGAGTGAGAACATTCTACCCACCATGAGAGTGAGAACATTCTACCCACCATGAGAGTGAGAACACTCTACCCACCATAGGGCTTGGAAAGCAAACCTGTACAGCATGGTTGATGGTGCCGGCCTTGCGTCTGCTTGCGAGGTTCCTTCCTGCTACAAGTGGGTCTCGTCCGGTACCCGTCTGCTAAGCGGAGTAGGTTTTACTCATGCCATCCAGATTAGGGCAAACGCTGTAGCCACTCCGTCTAGAGCTGCTAGGGGGTAGACCCGAGGCTTCTGGTCTCTGCGATGCTTGCGGGAGATCAGAGACCCTGGGCCACATATCCCAGGTCTGCTATAAGACTCATGGGGCTTGGGTGAAGCGTCATGACGATATCATCGGTTCGTAGCCGGCCGCCTGTGGCAGAGAAGTTTTGCGGTGGAACGTCAAGCTCATATACCGGATGGAGGGACCTTCTGCAAGCCTGACATCATTGCTTGCAAAGGCTTGACGAGGCCTTTATATTAAACACCCTGGTCTCTGCTGAATAATTCCCTCTCTCCCGTCCACATCAGAGCAAATGTGACAAACACTGCACCCAACAGATCCTTCACAAGGTGAGGGAATATACCGGTAAGCACACAGCATCCGCCTCTTCTATAACCCTTAATTGTAGAGGAGGATGGTGCAAGGAGAGTGTTTGTCGTCTTCAGGATATGGGACTCACCAGGAGCGACCTTGAGATTTGCTCTCTTTGATTTGCTCCGGGGCCAAGCTAGGAGCTTCCGCTTTGAATTGTTTTCCATGTACCTTACCTTGAGGTTACCGTGAGGTGATTTCGGGGCTTAGCGATCCCGCGGCCCGGTCGTCGACCAAGCCTCCTCATTGCTGGACTGGTCAACCAGGCTGTTGGATGCGGCTGCTCGCAGCCTGACGTATGAGTCACAGCCTGGTTGATCAGGGATTCTTTGGAGGTGTTTATCAAGTTCTCTCTTGAACACTGTGAGGGGTTGGCCAGTTATATATAGTGGAAGCGTGTTGAACAGTCTCGGGCCTCTGATGTTGATAGATTTCTCTCTCTCAGAGTACCTGTTGCACCTCTGCTTTTCAACGGGAGTATATTGCACATCCTGCCATGTCTTGTAGTCTCAAGAGCAAGGTGCAGAGTGCATAGGCATACTGTCTATGGCTTCTTCAAAATCCAGTGGGGATAGGGTGACATCTGATATATGATTTGATGTTGGTATCATATCCATGAAAAATTCATTTGGGTTATCAATCTTTTGTGTGTTTAGTGGCTCGCTGAAAACAGAGTCGTACTGATTCCTGAATATTTTGCTCCTTTCTTTGTTATCGTCTGTGAAAGTTCCATCTCCCTTTCGAAGGGTCCCAATACTAGATGTTGTTTTTTTATCTTGATTTTACATAGGAGAAAAAATACTTCGGAATTTTCTCTATTTCACTGATTTCCTTTTGCTCTCTTTGTCTTTAATGGGTTTTGATTGATTCTTATAGCTTTAGTTCAATTGTTTCTATATCTCTTCCTAACCTTCTTCGCTTTCTTGAGATAGGATGGGACTCTCAAGTTGTTCCACAGTTCGTTTTCTTCGCCTATAGATTTAACGACGTTTCCGTTCCAATCTGCATCTCTTCCTCTTTTTTCTTAGAGGTATGCGGTTTGAGCATTTTTCTAGTGCTATTGAACTTATATTTTCCAGGCACTAGAAAAATGCTCAAACAGCTAGAAAAATGATTTTCTAGCTGTTCTTCCCAATTTATTTCTGTGAAGTCTTGGTTTATTTGCTCCCAGTTTATCTGTTTATTATTGAAGTTGAATTTGCAGAAATCTCCTCCACCGGGAATCGGGACTGATTTTGAAGGTTTATTCCCCCTGTTTGTCAGAACTTCAATTAAGCTGTGATCTGAGTAACAGGTATTGGTAATCATTATGTCCCTGATCAATTCATCAATATTAGTGAAAATGAGGTACAGCGTGTTCTCCTTCCTAGTTGCTTCTATTAATATTTGCTGGTTAAAGGCAAACCTGTCGCACATCCGAAGCAGGTCATTTGCATGTGCCTGTTCATTTAGGATACTTCCCGGAATTCTCTCTGATACAACTGTATTAGCCAGGGTCTTCCATTTCAGGTGCCGTAGGTTGAAGTCCCCAAGCAGGATGATGTTTGCGGCTGGATTTGAGAGGTTTTCCAAGCAGTGTTCTATTTTCATTAGTTGGTCTTTAAACTGCTGAGGGTTTGCCTCCGGTGACTTATATACAAGGACAATGTTGGTAAATGAATGTTGGCAAATAAAAATGATGTTATGTTTCTGGAAGTGCTGGATGCTTTACTTGGTGTTAATATCTGAGGCTCTGGTAAGGAGGCCACTGTGTTTGCATCCTCTCTAGCACTTGACCGAGTTGGTGGTAGAGTCTGAACATATTTAGCCATTCTTCTCCTCATCTTGCTAAAAAATCATCCTGGTAAATAGTGTTGTGGTTGCTTTAATCAATGTGGTTTGTCGGTCTTATTGCCTGGTTCCTTTTATATGAAAAGCTGGACATTCTGTGTTGAAACATTCATTCTTATTTAGAGAGGTCTTGCACAGTTCTGGGTGAAAGAGATCACAACTTTTGGTACATTTACCTGTACTAAGAAGATTCCTGTACTTTCTGGGATGATCATATTTACATGTTCCATTTGTTCTCCCCGATATCCCATGCTTACAGATACCCCATTCGTAATATTGGCAGATTTTGGGTCCTTGTTTTGTTTGTTTCAAAAACCCTGGAGCCAATATCGCGCCCGGTTCAGGCGCCGATACCGCGCCCGACCCCAACGTCGCGTCCGGCGCCAGCATAGTATACGGCCCCAGCGCCAACATTGCATCCGGCCCCGGCGCCAACATCGCATCCGGCCCCGGGAACCAACATTGCATCCGGCTCCGACGCCAACACCACATCCAGCTCCGACGCCAACATCGCATCCGGCCTCGACGCCAGCGTCGCATCCGGCCCCAACGCCAATACGGATCCCAGTGCGTTATGTAGCTCCAGTTCTGGTTCTGCCTGGGTGTCCTTGAAAATTTGTTTGAAAACTTCGGATATTTCCGTGCAGGCAGTTAGAAGTGATTCTCTGTGCTCTGCTGGGGTTTTATCAAGAATTGCCATAATCTTCAAGACAGTAATATTATACTTTCTGCAGAACCAGTACACCGAGTGGTCTCTGGGACCAATTTTTCCTGGCATTATTTGACATGTTGGCACACTTACTGTGTATGGCTGCTGAACGTAGTTGGCACTGGAAGCTCTGGTGGTAATCTACTTCATTGTTGCATTCTGTGCACATCTTTACTAAAGGTATTCTGACCATAAAGCTTCTGGTCAATGGTGGTGGTGGTAAGGCAGTTGGTTGTTGACCAGTGGTAAAGAGGGGGGGGGGCGACCCTTCACAGCCTACCGAGTGTGTACACAGAGCAAGCCTCGTGGCCCCTGTACACAGTTGAAAAAGTTGAAAAGGCAGTTTTACTTCGAAATATACTAATTTTATAAGAAAATTTGACGTAAATAGGAGGCAGTAGAGCTCCGATCAGCCAGCGCTAAATCTTCAATATGAAGAATGTTGCCTGCTCTCTGATTGGCTAAACGAAACACAGTAGTGACCTCTATCGGCACGCAGGTGAACCAACAAATATCTTCCTAAGTAGTCCTACCTGAATTGCACCTAAGCATCTTCTTAGGGCGCACTTAGGAACCTTCGTAGCAAACCTACTTACGAAGAAATACATGGAGCTTCCTGAATCTAGGTCCAGGACGCCAGATACAAGGCTGCATTTGTATGATGAAATTCTTCAAGAATCAGAGAGTGAGAAAGACCTGAGGGTTGATATCACGCCAGACCTGTCCCTTGAAGCTCACATCAAGAGGATATCTTCAGCGGCATATGCCAGGTTGGCCAACATAAGAACGACCTTTATAAACTTGTGTTCTGAATTAAATAATTAGGGCATTGTATACCACATATGTTAGACCAATTCTGGAGTATGCAGCTCCAGCATGGAGTCCGTATCTAGTCAAGCACAAGACTAAATTGGAGAAGGTTCAGAGGCTTGCCACCAGACTAGTACCCGAGCTGAGGGGTATGAGCTACGAGGATAGACTACGGGAACTAAACCTCACGTCGCTGGAAGACAGAAGAGTTAGGGGAAGACATGATCCCCACATACAAGACTCACAGATGAAATGGAATGCATTAGACAGTGATGCGTTGGAGGAAGACTATACACAGTTACCGAACATAGACATGATAGAGCCCAATAGGCTCAGAACCTTACACACTAGTTGATTGACAGTTGAGAGGCGGGACGAAAGAGCCGAAGATCAACCCCCGCAAGCACAACAATTAGGTGAGTACAGTGACTGACAAAGAGAGAGACACAAGCACATAAAAGGACTGTAAAATAAACAGACATACAGACAGACAGACAGACAGACAGACAGACAGACAGACACAGACAGACAGACAGACAGACACCAGGAACCTTTCTCATACAACGGCTCCTCACCCCCCAATTCTAATCTAAATATTCTAGAGACAATATTAAATGCATTGTTAAGACAGATGACAGCCCTAAAACAGCACCTTATTTGAGGACGAAATGAATATCAGTTGCAAATAAAGAAAAACTTAAAGAGTCAGTCACTAACTGCTAGTTGTAACAGCCCGCGAGAACGAAATCCAAGACGTGGAAGAGGCATCAACAGATGTTTTAAGAGTGAAGCTTACTAATAGTGACCAAATCAACAGACGTTTAAAGAGTGAAGCTTACCAATAGTGTCTAGATCAACAGATGTTTCAAGAGTGAAGCTTACCAATAGTGTCTAGATCAACAGATGTTTCAAGAGTGAAGCTTACCAATAGCGTCCAGAAGGTTGTGAAGGCTGGTAGAGGCACAGGAGGAACCACACTATCACTCCGGCCAAGATAAGCGCGCTGCCTCCGGGCCACTTGCCCTCTCTTGGCCACTTCAGCATCCTCATCTGAATGTAAAATGGAGGTCGATATAGTTACAAAGTGGGAGACGCTAACAAATGTTCAGCGGATGGAACAAACAAAATTAGAACATAGGAATGATAGGATCATGCTCTACGGGTACACAGGACTGTATTAGTAGAGTGTAAGTGTAGACATCTTGTAAATGCACTTCATGAAGTTATGTGTATGAAGATAATAGCTAAGGGTTAGACACTGTAGATGACAACACGTTACCTGTCCTCTTGAAAAGAACGTCGCTCTTGGCCGTTTGCCCGTATGGCCGAATATGGACGTAATTTGAAAATGAAAAAATATTGAAAATATATTTGGGATTTTTTTTCAACAACAGTAAGTCAAGGGTCCTCTGATAGGTTAGGTGGGCAGGAAATTCTCATAAAGTTTCAAAACGTTATGAAAAACGTTAATGGAAAGTTCCTCTTCTAAGCTGTCCGAGGAGGGCCGGACGACTCAAACAGAAAACGGAACAGTTCGTCACTTTTGTGAGTCGATTTCATTTCAAATTACGTCCAAATTTGGCCATAGTGCGCATACGAGCCAAAAGTGACGTTATTTTTAAGAGGACGGGTTGATTCAGTACCCAGTTGCAATCACTGTTACTGAACTCCACCACCCGGTACCTAGAGATACAATCACTGTTACTGAATACCACCACCCAGTGCCTAGAGTTACAATCACTGTTACTGAATACCACCACCCAGTACCTAGAGTTACAATCACTGACCCTGAACTCCACCACCCAGTACCTAAAGTTACAATCACTGACCCTGAACTCCACCCCCCAGTACCTAAAGTTACAATCACTGACCCTGAACTCCACCCCCCAGTACCTAAAGTTACAATCACTGACCCTGAACTCCACCACCCAGTACCTAAAGTTACAATCACTGACCCTGAACTCCACCTCCCAGTACCTAAAGTTACAATCACTGACCCTGAACTCCACCTCCCAGTACCTAGAGTTATAATCACTAACCCTGAACTCCACCCCCCAGTACCTAGAGTTACAATCACTGACCCTGAACTCCACCCCCCAGTACCTAGAGTTACAATCACTGACCCTGAACTCCACCTCCCAGTACCTAAAGTTACAATCACTGACCCTGAACTCCACCTCCCAGTACCTGGTGTTACAATCACTGACCCTGAACACCACCTCCCAGTACCTAAAGTTACAATCACTGACCCTGAACTCCACCTCCCAGTACCTAGAGTTACAATCACTGACCCTGAACTCCACCCCCCAGTACCTAGAGTTACAATCACTGACCCTGAACTCCACCTCCCAGTACCTAAAGTTACAATCACTGACCCTGAACTCCACCTCCCAGTACCTGGTGTTACAATCACTGACCCTGAACTCCACCACCCAGTACCTAGAGTTACAATCACTGACCCTGAACTCCACCCCCCAGTACCTAGAGTTACAATCACTGACCCTGAACTCCACCCCCCAGTACCTAGAGTTACAATCACTGACCCTGAACACCACCTCCCAGTACCTAGAGTTACAATCACTGACCCTGAACTCCACCTCCCAGTACCTGGTGTTACAATCACTGACCCTGAACACCACCTCCCAGTACCTAGAGTTACAATCACTGACCCTGAACTCCACCTCCCAGTACCTAGAGTTACAATCACTGACCCTGAACTCCACCACCCAGTACTCAGAGTTACAATCACTGTAACAGAACACCAGCACCCAGAGTTACAATCATTGTTGTAATCACCTAATTACCACAAATTTATCATTGTTAAACATCATGCTATTTTCTGTTACCAAATCAAACACTTTATTAATATTGGCTTGAAGTTTTTAAGTCTTATACAAAAGTCTAATACAAAAGCAGTTTTTATGTTTTTTGTCATCTGCAAAAGATGCCACAAAGCTGTAATTTGTAATTTCGTCTGTATCTGATAAGAAAATGTGAAAAAGCCTTGGAACAGGGATCGTGCCCTGAAGGTATAAAACTTTTCGCTCTGAATGGACTTGAGTTTGTTTGATTGACTGCTATACTTTGCATTTTGTTTAAAAAGAAATTGAATATCTATCGTCCTATTTTACCTGTTATTCCTATTGATCACACTTTATGGGTTATTACTCCAAAGATCACATTTATCAAATACATTTGCAAAGATCATGTATATTACATCGGCATTTTGTTTTTCTTCTAATGCATGCATGACTTTCGTATACTGGTTTCGTAACTGCAAAAGACACGATCTCCCCGCTCAAGTCTATGTTGTCAGGGGTTGTGGAGATCATTGTTCTATGTAAAACTGGATATCTTACCCCTGATCACTCTTTCAAAAACTTATATTATGTGTGATGTTAGTGCGACTGGTCTATAGTTTTTAACCAGTGCTTTGCTTCCTCCCTTGTGTAGTACAGCTGCCTCTGCTAATTTTAGTGCTTCTGGCATCTCCCACAGTATTCTCTGTTAATTTTAGTGCTTCTGGTATCTCCCACAGTATTCTCTGCTAATTTTAGTGCTTCTGGCATCTTCCCATTAATCCATGCTAATTTAATTCACTACTAATTTAAGTGCTTCTGGTATCTCCCCAATATTCTTTATAAATATGGAATTCATGTCTGAACTCGGGGCTGAATGCATGGCTATGATGTCATTTTTCACTTTCAATTCTGCAGCGTTTGTGTTGATATTAGTTATACTGTTAGGGATTTGGATGTCATTTATAAAGACGGTGTTCGTGTCTTTCACTTGTTTCAGCCGTCTGTAATCGTCTACGTTCTCTTCCTAAGTGGTTCCTGTTTCTGACCTTCCACAAAAGAACGTTTCAAACAGACTTTGTATGCTTTGGGAGTTAACTGTTCAATTCCAAGCGTGGGAGTTTTCTCATTAAAGGCTGTGTCCCTTGGCATGTTTACAACTTCTATGTTGGCTTTTTCCAAGTCAATCATCTTATTATTAAAATCGTGATCAGAGTATTTGGAATCTGAGATTAAAATATTCGTAACTCTTTCTTCATTGTTTGTAAAGATCAGATCTAGATTATTTTCGTTTTTAGATGGCTCTGTTATTTGTTGATTCAGCGAAAATTTGTCACAGACTCTAAGTAGTTCTTTGACCTGTGGTTTATTATTTCCAGGATGATTTTCTGGTATTATATTCTTGTTTGTTATTGTCTATCTTAGCCAGAGCAAGGAGGAAATATCTGGTGTTGGGTTTGTCAGATTATCGAGGCTATTCTCTATTTTGTTTATGTATTTTGTGAATTCCTCACCCATTGTTTCTGACGGCTTTTATATTAGAGTAATAACTGCGTTTCTTCTGTATTTTATTTCAAGTATCTCTACTGTCTCATTTATAGAGTTTAGGAGCTCCCAGCATACAAGATCCTCTCAAATCTACAAATCTACTCTGATCTATTTACTCTATCACATTTATATAAATTATATTCTGGTAGCCAGATCTCACTGTCCATACATATCCCAGCATGGTTTTGTGCGAGAGTGCGTCTGAAGAGGTCATATATGAACGGCATAAACATATCTGTCAGTAGAACTATTAACATACTTTGCGTCATTATATAACGGAATGTGAAAAATCGCGGAATGCAGAGATAACACCGTCAGTGGAGTCCAGGAAATGTGCAAGTACTTCATTCATAATGATGTACTGCCAGGAGTCTTAGGCAAGTATCCAAAATTTGCTTACTGTAGGTGCAGCCTGCACATGACTGTAAAGCTGCCGCCCCAGTTGGGTGGGTGTGGAGCAAATGACTGTAAAGCTGCCGCCCAGTTGGGTGGATGTGGAGCAAATGACTGTAAAGCTGCCGCCCAGTTGGATGGGTGTGGAGCACATGACTGTAAAGCTGCCGCCCAGTTGGATGGGTGTGGAGCAAATGACTGTAAAGCTGCCGCCCAGTTGGATGGGTGTGGAGCACATGACTGTAAAGCTGCCGCCCAGTTGGGTGGGTGTGGAGCACATGACTGTAAAGCTGCCGCCCAGTTGGGTGGATGTGGAGCAAATGACTGTAAAGCTGCCGCCCAGTTGGATGGGTGTGGAGCACATGACTAAAGCTGCCGCCCAGTTGGATGGGTGTGGAGCACATGACTAAAGCTGCCGCCCAGTTGGGTGGGTGTGGAGCAAGACTCGTAACTGTGTGACTCACCATAGATGTAAAGTGCGTTGTATAGTGACTGTTGTGAGCCTCTTGTTGAATCACTTGTGATATAAAAAGATCATTCATATGGATATATATTTGTGTACATCGATGTATATATATGTACATGTATATATAACATTAATAACTGTGTAACTAGCTTCAAAAGATTGTCACTTGCTTAGCTAAACGAACTCTGGGGTTCGGTTCCTGAACTGATTTGAAGCCTCTGTAACCCTTTCCACCACCGCCCACGGGATGGGTATGGGGTGCATAATAAAGAATACTATATGAACGGTACGTTGTTTTTGCCTTTTTTTTTAGGCTTTATATGTTGGCAAAGATAAATTACGTTACTCATCTGATATTTTGATTTATTTCTTTATATACTTATTTAGTGGATTTTTTGACAGCCTTTTTAGGGAAATTTGTTTTTCGTGGTATTGTGGGTTTATTCTGACCTGTTCTTGTTGTTGCTTATCGTAGTTTTAGCTCTGTTGTGGGGTATAGCTGGGAGCTGTGACTCTGTTGTGGTGTATAGCTGGTAGCTGTGACTCTGTTGTGGGGTATAGCTGGTAGCTGTGACTCTGTTGTGGGGTATAGCTGGTAGCTGTGACTCTGTTGTGGGGTATAGCTCGTAGCTGTGACTCTGTTGTGGGGTACAGCTGGTAGCTGTGACTCTGGTGTGGGGTATAGCTGGTAGCTGTGACTCTGTTGTGGGGTATAGCTGGTAGCTGTGACTCTGTTGTGGGGTATAGCTGGTAGCTGTGACTCTGTTGTGGGGTATAGCTGGTAGCTGTGACTCTGGTGTGGGGTACAGCTGGTAGCTGTGACTCTGTTGTGGGGTATAGCTGGT